ATTTATACAATTATATTCTTATATAATTTGTCATTATTAACCTTATATTTGAGGGTTAGTCTCCATCAGATATATATTTCACCATTTTATCCAAGCTAGAAAGGTTTCTGCTTCACAGCGAAAAGGATGAGTCCCAGCAATATTAACATGTCAGCAGACAGCAGATTATGTCCTTGGACACGAGTAATACAAGTAACAGATAGACAGACTAAATTTGAAGGGAATTTGTCTTGTCCACTGCACTCACCCATCAAAAATAGTTATGTTATCACATTCACAGGGCAGCTTAAAATACATATTAAACTCAACTAAGTTTACCTAACAAAACAGTTTAAGGTTGGAGAAAGACTAAGAAAGTTGAAGCTTTAAACAAATATGTGGTTTTCTTCTGTCTCCAACAATTTGCTTTTTAGAAACTATCTACAGTCCATTTAGGCTGTGATTACCAATACTCATTCATTTTACTTGTCTATCTACTCCCTTTGTGCTCCTTCCCACGACTCTCACTCCTATTTATACCCCAATTCTCACACCATCGTCATTGGCCATCTGAAATCAATCTGTGTTTTGTTTTTCCTTCCATGCTCTTCTGTCTTTTCCTCTCCCCTCTGTCTTTCTCCTGCATGTGCATTCAGGTGTCAAAGGCATTTCGATGGCAATCCTTCATCTGTTCACAAACACACACACACAGATGTTTGCTGATACAGAGTGACGCCAGCGCAGTGTAAAAAAAATCTATCCTGATGTGATCAGTGGAGATCGGCACTATTGACAGACAGCAATATTCCCACGATAGAAATGATTCACCTTCATCACTGTCACAGTGTTTGTGGGTGCACTTTGTTGGTTGTGCCTATAAAACGGTATGAAGGAAGGATAAAAAAGTAGCACAATATTGGTTAAAGATGAAATAATTCAGAAAGTTTTAAAGTTACAGCTAAACAGTTGTTTACGTGTGATTATTCCTTAGAGTTGGAGGGAATATAAGTTGAAAACTCATGTTAGTTAAAATTGTCTTCACTTTATTTTTTCCCCTTAAGATTGTTCCCTTTTTATCCAAACCATAAAGTAAGTACAGAAAAAAAGGGGAATCGCAAAGATACATCATTACAGAGCTGTGTAATCTAATGAGGTGGCTTACCTTTAGTCAATATGCCTGCAAGTATTTTTGGGTGTGTTAATACCTGGTTAAAACATTAAAATTATTCTGGAGAAGAAAATAAACTCATTCTCTAGTTTCTTTTCTTATTACCAAAAAATTCAAGTCTCCAACTGATAGCCCTATTTTCCATCCTAATGTTCATTTTAAAACAATCAAAACTATTTTACTGTAACATTTTCTCAATACTATGGCTTTATGTGTTAGTTAAAGTTAAACATCAGCTGCAATTAAAAAAAAAGTATCTAACAGATTGCCTATAGAGCCAGATCCACCTAAACAGCTACACTATTCAGCTTCCCCATCCCTGTGGAATAACAGCATCCCCACAGCATGATGCTGCCGTCAGCATGTTTCTGTGATATGTATGGGATTTGGTGAATTTCACACATAGAAATCTGGTCTCATCTGTAAAGAGATGTAAATGTTTCTAAATACTTTCTGTGTCTATTTCATGGCTTGTGGGAAAATGAAAAGGGAATACCTAATAATGAAATTGGGCAATCAGTAGCACTGGATTTTTTTATTTTATTTATTTTTTTTTTTTGTATGGATTTTGGATTAAGAGGCAAATAGATATTGGCACTCCACACTTTTAATATTTCCAATTAATAAAATTGAAACATTGTGTTAATGTTCCCACTCGATTTGGTTGGTCTGACACATGGAATCGCAGATAAAATACACTTAAGGTTGTGGTTTAATTCTAAATGTAAAAATATTAAATTGGGTATTTGTACTTTTGAAAATATCTGTGAATATATGAGGAGTATTTCCCTCAAATGTTGTTACTTGAGCGTTCCTCATTTCTACTCATTCTTTCATAAAATGTATGTTAGTGTGTGGCTAGGGTCATTCATTTAGATTCAGTTTTGTGTTCAGTCTTTCATTTGTAGCTGTTTAATTTTCCTCTTCCATTATTTCTAAGTTTCATATTTGCTTCCCCCCACTCCTCTTTTCTCTTGTCTCCTTTACCCTCTCATCTTCTCCCCTCGTTCCCTCCTCTCTCGCCCATTCTTTATGTTTTGAAGGCTCATTTGTTAAGAGGAGGTAACACACTCTCACTCTCCTATGAGCTTCCTCATGTCTCTTCTTTGTGAGCTTTGGAAATATAATTTTCAGTTTTTAATTTGATTCATTTAGATTTGACCATTAATCAGTGCTGAGAGAGAGTTAATTTGGTGGAAAATAGATGAGGTAGTTAGAAGGGACACTTTATGAAGTGAATTCAGGGCCTTTTAGGTGTATGAAAGAAAGATAGAATTACTGAGAGTGTGAATGTAAAAGAAAGCAATTTAATGAACATGCACATTTAATTTGGAGTTTTACGCTAGAAAACTGATTCTTCATGTAAGCTGTATTTTGTAGTCAGCAACTACTCTAAATAAAAAGTTCCTCATCAGGTTTATGGAACCAGTCTTATATGATTTATGGCATAGGGCAAATGGAGAGTCTACTAGGAAGCTAAAGGAAATTGGAATGTGGCTACAAAAATATTAAAAAAAAAAAACTACAATTGGTGCATGATATTAGAATCAAGAGTATTGCAATAAGATTTCAAATTATTTTAGGTCTTAATGTGTTAAAATTATTTCAAAGCACAGCTTTATTTAAAGAAGCTCTTACAGTAATGGTACTGGCTATGACATTCTAAATAATCTAATGATAAACAAAGTCAAGAATTTGGTCTGGTTATTGTAAAGGATGCACTGATGGACACAGGTAAATATTTCTTAACCATTCATTAATCTGGATTGACCAGTCCCAAAAGTAAGTCATTTCGTGGTCATGCCGGTGGTACCATGACTATGCTTTACGGTTCCATGCAATTTTTTGGGCAGGTTTTGGACTAAGCATTTTTCCTCAGAATAATGTCTGTATAAAAATCATTAAAAACAGAAAAAACTAATTAAAGTCAATTTCTTCATCCCTCTCCATTATTGACCAATTTTCAGTCTATATTTCTATTTGCCTCCCCTTCTTCTTCAAATAACCAGTGACCCAAGAGCTTTATAAACCTGCTACTCGTTGCGGCTTATAAACACAACATGGGGGTGTGGGTTAGAGAAAAAACAGATGTAGCTTTAGTGTGCTTGTAAGAGGAAAAGCAAAGAATAATGTGTATGAGTGGGTTTGTACCTCCTAGTGCTAAGAGTATCTTGACCGTTTGCTGACACTGGGCCCCCCACCGTACCTGGACTGTCAGTCCTTCTGTCCCCCTTTCTCTGCCTCAAGCAGTTACACACGTGAACACACACAGTATTACAGTTGGGTTTCTGAGTACCTGAGCATTACAGAATTTTTTAATTTACTATAAAAAAAAGAAATACATATTTTAGTATATATATATATTAAAAAGAGTATTCATTTTAAATTAAATGAACATTTCTCACATGAAAACAAAATATCTTAGACCTTTTGATGACAGTCACAACAATTCAATTCACTGATTTAATCACCTTTTGAATGATGCTTTTTCTGTAGCAGGAATAATTTTGAGTTCATTCATAAAGGTCCAGCTGGCTCATTTTTAATAAAATCAGCAGCAGCAAGGTTGAAGGAGTTCAACCTTGCAGGTAATTGAGTCAAAGTGCAATTCTGTACCCTTTGCCAGGCCCATCCATCTGATCCATCAAGAATCCATATCATCTCATTCACTAAAACCCTTAGAAATCTGTATTAAGATATTTTTTGGCCAAGTTTAGATGGCCCAGTCAACTTATGCTTCTTGGTCACTAGTTGTCGGTTTTCAGCTCTCCATGACGCCATTCAGAGAGACGGGGTTCCTGGTAGCTTTATGTAGCTCTTCTTAAATCGCTTGCAGCTCATTTTCGCATATCTGCAGCAAAATAATATGGCAATTTAGGGGTTTTTAAACAAAATCCTTGCTTTTTCAAGAGTGCTGCATTGTTTTAAAAAAAAACTTACATTTAGTAATTTCAAACTAAGCTAAATCACTCTTTTGGCACATTTTTTCCACATTAACCAAACTTTTCTAATAACTGTGCCACCTAGGATAAAGGGTGCTGTTGAAGATTCTTGTTTTGGCTTAGAAAACATGCTAATTTAACCTGAAGAACAGGTCCGCCCCATTATTATAAAGGTGTTTTTCTCTGTTGGTTACACCCTCTTTCATTTTACAATCACCTATGACCAGATAAACTAAAATCCAATAAACATTAAGTTTTTTTTAAATCTTAGACTAAACATATGTGTTCAAATGTAATGATCATTCATTTTTTGCACATATTTTACATTTCTTTTATCTTTTCAATATATTTGATCTATAACTATGGTTATAGATAAAGTTAATAATATTATTCATTTTCTATGCAGAAAAGTTTCCCGTCACAAAAGTAAAAAAATAGGCCGTGTACCTTCAAAACTTTCTGTTTCGGCCCTCTTCCTCTTTCCTTCCTCCTCCTATCATGTTCAAGTCTTTACTCTCTCTCTCTCTAAAGACGATAGCACCTCTGTCTTCCTTATCCACCTTTAAGTGGTAACCACGGTAACATCCAATCCCTTGAGGGATAGGCCTAATTCAATTAGGACTCCTTTGTGTCAATTAATTAACAAGAAAGAGAGAGAGACGGCAATCAGGAGCCAGAGATTGGGTAACATAAAGCTGGAAAACCTGAGAAACAATATAGGAAAGACTGGAAGTGATTGTTGTCTCTAGATTTTTGGAATGTAAAACTCAAAAAGTTTACGGTGATGAGCCTATTTAGAAGCGAAACACAACACATTTATTTACTTAAGACATCTTTCCTATTCTTTTCTCAATTAATTATATTTTTTCACATTTTACTTACTTATTTTCTCTCTGTGATTTCTCTTTCAGGTGTTCGTCTGGACAGGGTTCGTGGTGGAAGGCAGAAATACAAACGCCGAATAGATGCAGACAACAGTCCTTACCTGAACCCACAGCTGGCTTTGCCCCCAAAGAAGCCATGTAAGAATTAAAACTGTCAGCAACATTTCAGATCCAGTTCTGCTGCATAGCCTTGTGTAAACTGTGTTAGGATGTTTAGTTATGCATCCTAACAGAGACAGTAGGACAAAAAAAAAAGATTTCAATTGAGAACGCTCATACACCCAAAAATACTTGTAAAGAAACCATGTGTTTCGAACCACATTTATCTGCCTTTTATCTGCTATTACAAGTTTAGGATCCTAACATTTTATGCAAGTAATGTTCCACCATAAATGTATTTATCTAGCATCAATTGGATTGGCTGCTATTTTCAAGGAATAAACCAAATGCTTGACGAGTGAACAACCAATGGGAGAGTGGGTGAGAGTGACAGAGACAGGTAGAGACGTGAAGAGATTAAACCTAAATGAGAGCATTTCTCAGACAGAGAGAGAAGCAGGAATGGTGAGCAGGAGAACAGCAATAACCCTAATCCGGATTAAATCCAATCTGGCAACCACATCAAACTAGAGTTAGCTCTCTAGCTAACCGTCTGGTTGTGCACACAACATACACATACATGTGGTGCAGATTGACCAGTGTTTAGCAGCTTGCTCCCCAAAGCCCCTTTTGCTTAAAGCTGAAGCATATTTTGCTCTAGGCCAATATGCTGAATGGCTGCACTGCAGATTACTGGGACTTCTGCAACACTAATTAATGAAATGATGGGATAAACTGAAGTTATGTACACTGTTTTTATCTTAGCATAACAAGAGGGAGAAGTATTTGATAGCTAAAGGTACATCTAAATGTAAAGTTTTTCTTAAGCCCTGTCAGTGTTGGAAATGGAAAAACAGCTTCCCTTCATGAAGGAAGAGAAAGGCAAATGGTCCCTACCATTCTTATTTTTTTTATAAATATCTACTGTTCTTGCCTCACACATGAAATCTTCCTGCACTTCTGTCATCCTCACAAAACTTCTCTATCTGTAGCCCAGTCCCAAGTCTCACCGTCCCAATTGATTGTTTGAGAACAGAACAATAGTCCAGGGTTTGGAAATGGGCTTCCATTGATTCTAATTAGGGAAACGTTAAATAAGATTTACTTTCAGATCCTGCAATGTGACTCGGCATGGTGTGGCTCAAATGACCCCGAAGTCTGACCGTGTTTGTGTGGATACATACATTTCATTTGTGTGAATATAAAAGATTTGGGGGGTGGACTGTGTTAAATCAATACACAGCTTATCCTCACAGCGCTGTTTCGCTCCCTCTTGTTTATATGTACCTAGTTATCACATCTCTGGATGCCTCCTGTCCATCTTTTACAATCTGTCCATGGCCCTTTTTCTACCCATCTGTCTTTGCCAGGTTTTTCTTCACTAATCTCCTCCTACTCTTTTTCTCCACTCTTTCTCTTCTATCCTGCACTAACATCCCCATGCCTGATTAGTCTGTGGATTAATTTGGAAGTAGGATATCAGTCTCTTACTAATGGGCCATAGAGGTCTCATCACCACATGTCACTGTGGCCAGAAGAGCTGTTAAGCTTCCATAGAATACCAAATGGTCGCCATATAAATGGTTAAAAAACTCTAAACAATAGGAATGCAATGGAGCAGCTTACTCAAACTCAGCATGTAAATCCAAAAAAGAGTATATAGCAAAATGTAACCGTTGCTTTCTTTTTTCCTTAAAAGAAAAATTATTGCATTTTATCATAAATGCTTGATTGCAGCTGTTGCCACCAATGGTTAGAATGCCAGTATAAATTTACAGGGAACTTGCATATTTTTAAACGGCCAAATTTGTTTAGTTAGCATTTTCCCAAATAAGTGAAGTTCTCATCTGAATTATGCGTTTCATATATTAAGCTTGATGTTCCAAAACATAAATGTTGTAGAACTTGAAACCTGCCAGAAGGAAAAAAACTTTCCCACAGCAGTTGTATTGAGTCACAGCAGATGTTTCATTCATAGGATCAAACAGACTATGCCTGTAACCTTTCACATATTTGCACCTGAATGGTGTGGAACACTTTGTACCGTATGAAGACAACAATTTCACTATCTCTCTGTCTCTGTGTCTGTCTCCTTGTCTGGTGGTCATGTCAGTTGCCTTTGGCTGCCTTGCAGATAACAAAATCGTGTCTCACCTGCTGGTGGCTGAGCCAGAAAAGATTTACGCCATGCCTGACCCAACAGTACCAGACAGCGACATCAAGGCCCTCACCACACTGTGTGACCTGGCGGACAGAGAGTTGGTAGTCAACATTGGCTGGGCCAAACACATCCCAGGTAGGACTTCAGTTCAATTCCCCCTCTGATTCAATACCAATTTCTTTGCATCCAAATACGCAAAAAATCAGCTACATTTGTGGATTTTTGGAAGGTTATATCTTGAGCTGCAACCACTGTAGAAATGCATGGTCACACTTCCAATGACATAATCCTTACATTATAAAACATGTTTTTGGTGTACATGTAGCTTTTCATTCTTTTGGTGCTCCTAATTTCTATAAAACTGAACATTATCTGGAAAACAAGGTTATGATGAAATATTTGCTCCAATGTCCACAATTAATAACTTATTTCATAAAGATCTATAGATTTTAAATTGAGAGCATAGATAGATAGATAGATAGATAGATAGATAGATAGATAGATAGATAGATAGATAGATAGATAGATAGATAGATAGATAGATAGATAGATAGATAGATAGATAGATAGATAGATAGATAGATAGAAATTACATATTAGTACCTGTCCACACTGAAAAGAATTCCATCTAATCCTTTTAAACCAACCCCTTTCCTCTCTTAATCTCTCTTGATCTGCAATACAAGATGAAAAGAATTACCATAATGGCAGAACCAAAAATTGGATTTAAAAAAAAGAAGAAGGGAAAAAAGGGAACCGAGGGAAAAAAGTTCAAAGTGGTTTTGCTGTCTCATGCGGGGAAGAGCAGCATATCAGATTAACAGATTAGCAAAACACTTTGACGCTTTGACCCTTTGTCAGATGAAAATAATTACTGAATACAAGAAAAGAGAATGATGTCCTGCTTTGCTTTAGAAGAACAGCTTTGCAGGGCAATAAAGCACAGGGTAAAATACCAGATTAAAGACATAAATATTATGCAGTGATGCTGTGTAAATCTATACCAATAAAGTTGGTGGCATTGGATAACAGGGTCCATGAATGATGCTTGTATATCAATAATATGAAAATAATGGTAAGAAGAAAAGATCTAGATGAATTGAGTGAGTGAGATAGGAATACACATTGCCCCTAGAAAGTGTATTGATCTCTGTGCTGCCACATGGACAATAAGCAGACATACATATTGATCCATAAACTAATAATAACACAGAAAATGGTTTTTTGTTGTTTTTTTAGGAAAATATACCATATTTCCCATACTTAGCTATACTTATCTCTTTTCTAATGTTCCTCACAATATCCGGTCCTCCTTTGGTTTCTCTTTCGCTCTAGATTTTCATTTTGCTCAGTTTTTAGCATGCTACTGCTGTACAACATCTAAAGCCAGACCAGCTAAAGAGGCTTGCAATCCTTTCAAAAAATTACAGTTATTGAAATAATCTTTTTCGAATATAACTTACATTCATGACATATCCCCTTGTTGTTCTGATATCCAACTGCCTTAGTCACCTATTAGTTTACCAGGATGTCATTTAAAATCTGCAGTATTACAGCCTCCCCTTAAAGGTTTGCTGGTATACATTTGTACACAAAAAGCACCATGAAGAACTTGGCTAGACATTTAAAGCTGATGTAGGATTTAAAAATATAACTCAAACTCTTAAAACAACAAAGCTGAATTTATAATTTAAAACAACATCCCTTGTAGAGAGAGTAATAACAGACATACTGAAGATGGGAAGAAAGAAGCAGGAACATAAAAGCATATATATATATATATATATATATGGCAAAATGCATNAAGAAGCAGGAACATAAAAGCATATATATATATATATATATATAGATAGTTCAGTCTTTTTAGAATGCCTGCCATATTTCTCATATTTCTTCTTGCAAAAACTTTTAAAATCACTTCTCTTCCATCAGTTTTCCAATTATTAGCTGTTTTCCCTTGATTTGTTACTGACCACTGAATAAAATAAATCAAACCTTTTCCCGACTCTAAGATGACAAAATATGAAAAGGTTCCATTATTTTGGGAGACACTACACACTCAGGTCTCCAGCCATGTCTTTTTCATCTGATATGATTCTTTTGCACTGTAACTGCTGTTTCTTTTCTTTACTGTTCTTGCAAGTACGCAGGCCAACTTAGACAGGTTATCTGCTGACTATAGTGAGTGTGTGTGTGTGTAGGTTGGGGTAGGGGGGTGGAATGCGCGCAGCTTTCTGTAAAAAGGGAGTGAAGCACAACGATTGCTTGGAGGAGAAGAGAAGATGGTGTGATTAGATGAACGAGGAAGGCAATCCACTGCTCAGAGAGAAAGATAGAACTCTTCATCTTCTAAGTGTGTTTGTGTGTGTGTGTGTGTGTGTGTGTGTGTGTGTGATATGAGCACCCTATGAAATCCTCACTGTTTACAGCACTGAACTGTGATGTCCTCACAGACCATGATCTACTGTTCACTCACACTGAAGAGGATTGTCAGAAAGAAATACACCTGCTCAACATTCTTTATCAGTCCCTGACACAAACACACACACCAAGAATAAGAACAGAGGAGGTTAGACCTGTTAACCTGTTAGCAGCCATCTTGTTTCACATCTTGTTGGGAGCGCGTGCGTGCCATAGGTGACTGCGTTCTGAGTGTGTGCACATACACAAGTCTTTGCTCGTCATGGTACAGTAATTTTTTTAATCAAATTGATGGAGAAAGACAGAGAGACAAAGGCAAAAAAAAAGGCAGAAGTAGGGAGAGGGGAGGCGAAGCCAATTTATGTTTCATGATATGGCTGCGCAGAGCTGCACATACACACATGCACATGTGCTGCACACGCACACAAAGGCTCCTAACAGTGGTAACAACGTGTCAAGGCGAGCGCCAGGCAGCTAATTTGAAGTCATTAGATGTCTGCCGTACTGGCAACAATTTGTTACGCTCTCACACGCACAAACACGCAGGGAAAAAAACACATTGCAAACACACACTGAGTTAAGAGCCGTCTGCGGATAGCGAGGAGCCTAAATTGTAAACTAATTTAAACATCACTCAGCGTTAGAGAGGCTGCCTGCAAGACAGGCCCCCGGATAACAAGACTAGGGTCCCTATGTGTGCGTCTGTGTGTGTGTGTTGCCAGTCATGACACACAGAAACGCGCCATGTAAGAGACTTTTGAAATTTTACAAACACACATCTCTCTGATTAGTTTTTATATTCTAAGATAACTATGTGTGTTTGTTTTCCCACTGACATGGCCCTAAGCAAACATTTGAAATGTCATTAGGAAAGGAAAATAGGGTTTCAGCGGCAGCATGCCTCTTCTTTCCCAAAAGGAACCACAGGCCTGTACTTATAAGACAAATATGGTAGAACAGGTGAGTCTTTGGCTAATTCAAACTGAAAGAATTCCCCACACACACTTGGTGACAGTGCAGGGAGCATGAAGAATAAGCCGTCACACTCTGGGAACTGTGCTTATGTGGAAATATCAGGAGTTATTATTCAAAGGGCATGAAAGGCCTTACCGTCCAATAATATGGATTAGTGACGAGAAGATCTCATTTTAATAGCTCTCAAGGAGGCAACTTCAGATGCATATTAGGCTGCATGTCATGCCGAAGCGTGCATTTGTGGGTGTGCAAGAACAGGAGCGCAGTCAGGTGGGAAGAGGAGGAGGAGAACAGCAAATATTTGAACAGAGAAGAATAAGGGAGTGAATTAAAGAAAGGAAAGGCCATTCAGAATGAGCCATTTATCTATCACTAGAATAAGTCTTTTCATCCTCTTTTCTCTTTTTTTACTCTATCTCTCTCTCTCCCTGCTTCCATAATAACTAAATTGCTACCAGGCAGTCATACTAGCAGCTCTTATCTAGTCTTGTGGATACAATAGAGAAAGACAGACAGGGCGAGCACTTGACTTGACGGAAGACCAAGGAATGAACAAATGAATGAATCAACGAATGAGACCCGAAACCTATAACACAGCCCTTTTCTCTTCTTTTTTTTTACCAGAACCAGTGGCCTTGCCATTAGTGTGTTTTTTCACAACCCCCTCCCATTTTCTTTCTTATTCAAGAAGAAATTGCTCTTGGATCTCCCCCTATTCTCTTGCCTGCCTATCTCTTTTTACTTGCTCTTTCTTTTCTTACAGTCTTTCTCACTCGCTGTTGCCCTTTCAATTTTGACACTCAGGATAAGCAGTCTATGTGTCGGCCGTAATGTGGCATGATTGAGTTATAAAAATGGGGGATGGGAGGTGGTGGGCTTTCGCCATTGGTCCAACCATTTCATCAGTCAGATATGGCGGTACAGGTTTGAGAGGTGGAGGTGGTGATGGGATAAGGATTAAGCTTTAAAGTCCACCATGTTACGTCTTCTCGCATCACACATTACCATATAGAAATTCAACTAAAGACTATCAGACAATGAATGGATTTAGAAAAGTTGCTCATAAACACTAATACATCTTGACACCTTCATATTATTTGTGATTCAATGAGCTGAACACCACTGCTTTAGATCAATTTAGTAATGGAATAACCATCTTGACAGATTCTATGTGTTGTAAAAGTTGACATACTCTATTTTTAACATTGGACATTTTTGATGTATTGATGAAAACAGCAGAAGCACTTTTTTTATATTTTGAACATAATGAAAATGGCTAAATTTTATGCTGACCACTGTACAAACCCAATTTTAACTCACTAACTGTTAAACCAATAAAGTGAGGAAATTATTTTTTATATGTGTCTTCTAATTCCCTGTCCTGATCTGAAATATCTAACTGGATTACTAATGTAGTAAAGTGATTAATTTGTAAATGGGGTTTTTGTTTATTCTTTTTTGCGCAGTTTTACTGAAAACTACTTAAAAAATTCAATTGTTACAAAATTGCTGACTGAAAGATTGCAGTATTAAAATTGGAGCTTACAATGGATTTCAAGCTCAGAGAGGTTCTCTCTTTCTCCAGTATTGCACTTTGACTGACAGTCAAACAAAACTTTTATTACATTATCATGCATTTTGCCATATATATATATATATATATATACTGTATATATATACATTATATATAACATTCTTCTGTTTTAACACTTATATGCAAACAAAAACGCCACTAGCAT